ATTTTAAAAGCATGTTGTATTGCTTTTAAATAGCATGCTTAATATACAGACTCATAAGTAAAATTATATCAGTGAAGAAGTTCAGTTATTGATCAGAGTTACTGTATTAAGAATGACTCCATGTGAATCTGTGACTTCATTGATCTTGATTCTCAGACTCTGAAGTTTTTAACTTTTGCATTTAGAAACATCCCACAGCAGAAAGGGCAAGTCAAGCTGAAATTTCAGCCATAGTGGCTATCTGTTGTTAGGAAAATCACTAGTCCAGTTTCTCCTTTCAAGAAATTTGTATTATGATTTTGTGTAATTATTAGGCTAAAGAACACAGGGTATAAATTTGAAGCTCCTCGTTAGATCATGCAAGGACTATGTCAAGTATTGTATATTCCTGGTATTTGTCAAGTATTGTATATTCTCTTTTCAAGACTGTCTCACTTGCCTCCTGTATCTGTCATTTCACAGCATGTACCACTGCCAATCTGTTTAAACACAAACGTTAATTTTATTTGCAATTATCATTTGTCTACCCCTACTACTTTCATAATGTATGTACTTTGTTTTGTTTACTGTCACATAACAAAAAACTAGAGCAGTGTTTGCCTAATATGTGGAATGTATTAATTAAATGATGTTTGGAATGAAGTATGAAGACAATATGAGAAGACCAATTTATAAAAGTAGTGTTCTATAGTATAAGCTTTGGCAGTAGTGCCCATTCAGTAGAATTAGTTTTGCTTTTCTTAAAAAGCATGGTGAAATTACTAAATAATTTAGGGAAGATAATCTATAAAAAGCCAATTGGTAAAAAGCTACTCCTTTGAAGAGATTTAAAAAATGAGGCCTCTTCAGAGTCTCCTGTCAGTAGCCAATGAGAGCTCTTATTTTTTCAGCTTTTCCAAATTTCTGGACTCTTTCTGCAGTTTTGGCCTAGGAATAGACATTTAGCCACAATTGATGTTGACAGTAAGTTACTCTTTAATGTCCTTAGGTGATATAGTTACTTACCATTGATAAGGTGCAACTTGAAAGAATTAACATCTGTGTTGAAGTATTCTTTTGTCGGCATAGAAAGAGATTGAACATTTTATATATGAAAATTTATGGACATAGATATGCATTCCCCAGTAACATGGCTTTGAATATACTAGTAATAATAATAGCAATGACAATTCTTGTTTGTCGAACACTCACTGTGTGCTTGCATTGGCCCTTATGTGTGTTGTTTCTCAGGATATATCACCGTCTGTGGGAAGGAGACTTCCTAGAGAGCAAGAAGACATTTATGTCTCTAAAGAGAAGAGGCAGTGTAGAGTTCCACCTGTCTTTAGGGAAATTATAATTTTATAGTATTGATAAGGGAGATGAAATAAGCATAATAAATAATGGTAAATGTAAGAACACAGTGAATCATACGTAAAACACATCCATGACAAAGCCTTAGGTGACAGAAATATAACCTATGCATAACCAGGATGAATGTGTAATTAAAGCGTCTTCAGGTAATTTTTTAAAAGTAATCTTATTAAGTCAGTGAACCCAATAATTTTTATTTTGCTTGACAGTATTTAATTTCTAGTGTGACCAATAATACAAAAAATAAAAGAAATATTAGCTTTCTTGGAAAACTGGATAGAATCAGTAAAACAAAACAAAGAACAAATGAAAGATTTGAAAAAAGATCTAAAGTTATTTTAAGAATAATCAGACTTACAAAATTCAGTCTGACTCACTAGACAGTGGGATAATTCTTGGCTGAATAAATCAGTGATCTTCATTTGGTGAATTTCCTAAAGAGTTTTGACTATCCACAAAACAAAATTTTAGCAACCAACATTCAGCAAAAGTGCAATGAAATGGAAAGAAAAGTGTCCAGTTTACCTGAATAGTCTCCCATCAAGACAAATTTCTTGGTATTCTGCAAGAGATATGAAGAATTGATTTGGTTGCATATGGTTTTGCAGAACATTTTTTTGCTATCTTGGAAGTAATCCCTGAGGGAGTTAAAATAGTTTGACAGAGTCATCATCTAATTTATTTTTTTGTTCTCAATGTGACTTTATCTACAAAAATGGCTTGGATGCATAGTTAATGTTATAATAATATGACAGAAAATAAACAATTTTTTAACCATTTTTATATATCACTGAAGACATGCACAAAGAACTAATAGACAATTTATGGATTTTCTAAATATTTAAATTGTCATGAATGGCTGATCTTAGTTTTAGTAATTACGTTTTTATTGCCAATAAGTTACAAATACAGCAGATAAATGAGCAAGAAATTAATCTTTTGATTGACTTAGCTGAAAGATATGGAACTTTTAATTTAAATTCTCAAATTCTATAATGATAATATGTATCTACTTGATATTACTTGTAAAGCAAAGAGAAAAATATTGCCATAATATACCTGTGAAATAAATGCAGTGAGTTACCAAAAGAAACAAACTAAGCTGAAATTATTTCAAATCTTTATGTTTGAGTTTTTACACTTAAGTCTTTCTAGCATTTTTAAACTCAGCTAAAGTTTTAGAAATGTTTCACTGATCTCTACTGCCACTGTTCACTCCTCTCCCAGGATTAGTTCCTTCTGGTAAGTATTCTTATAGCACTTTTAACTCTTCTTCCCTCAGCCAGTTCCCTTGCAATTGGTTTAAAGTTTCTTATCTAGACTTTCCTATAAATGTCTGAAAAACAGAAATGATATCAGTCTTGTTAACAACTATTATGGCTTATATTAATGTCCCCCAAAGCCTCCTGTGCTCATATATGGGGCTCTTGAGAGTAACTGGATCATTGGTATGTGGTACTGGATTAGTTCACTGATTGGTTTAGTTCTGTGTGTGGATGACATATTTACTGAAGATGAAAGACCCACCCTGTGTATGGGTCACCAACAAAAAGGCTTCTAGCCTACATAGAATAAAAGGGGAAAGAAAAAGGAAGTCTTTCTGCTTCCTGCTTGCCATACCATGAACTGTTTCTCCTCTGTTATGCCCTGCTTTGGAGCCAGCCGACAATGACCTGAAACCTCTATGAACTGTGAGCCAAAACAAAGCTCTTCTCCTTTACTTTGCAGGTGTTGGATATTTTGTCCAAGCAATGAGACAGTAACTTAGACAACAATTTATAGTGATTAAATATATTGCTCCATCAGTTATTTAGCATCTCTTTGACCACTAGCTTATCATAAGTCTCTTGAATTCGTATCTCGCATTTCTTTCTTACACCTATTCAGAAAAACTGCTTGAAATGCTTATCCATATTTCTTATCTTTAACTTCTCTCCTTCTGTTTCCTTTCTAATTCACTGTAATTACCCATCAATTTTTTGAAAATGTTTTTTATCTAAGTTAGTTTCTCTCTCTTGTCTAATTACTCTGGCTAGTATTTCCAGCACTGTATTGAATAGGAGTGTTGATAACGGACAACATTGTGTTGTGCTTGATTTTAGGGTAAAGTTTTTCAGTTTTGGGTCATTTAATATGATGCCGGCTGTTGGTTTATCATAGATGGCTTTTATCATATTGAGATAAAGAACATCTCTTCCAATTTTCTGTAAGGTTCTTATCATGAATATGTTGGACTTTATCAAAAGCTTTTCTGCATCTATAAAAATGATCATGTAATTTTTATTTTTGGCTCTATTAATATGGTGGATTACATTTATTGATTTGCATATATTGAACAATCCCTGTAATCCTTGGATGAATACCACTTGGTCATGGTGTATAATCTTGATGATTTGCTGCATTCTGTTTACCAATATTTTGTTGAGAATTTTTGCATCTATGTTCATTAGAGAGATTGGCCTATAGTTTTCTTTTCTAGCTAGGTCTTTCTCTGGTTTTAGTATTAGAGTAATACTTGCCTCCCTTGGAATGAGTTAGGGTGAATTGTTTCATTTTCAATTTCACTGAAGAGCTTTAGGAGTGTCTACAGTAAGTCTTCTGTGAATTTCTTGTAGAATATTACAGTGAATCCATCTGGAACTGGGCTTTTTCTTGTTGCTAAGGTTTTAATTACATTTTTAATTTTATTAATTGAAATTAGATTATTCAGAAGTTTTACATCTTCTTGGTCCCACTTTGGTAATTCATATGTTTCTAGGAATCTGTCCATTTCTTCTGTGTTATCAAGCCTATAAAAGTAGAGATTATATAGGGGTAATTTCAATTCTTTTTCATTTACTTAAGCATGTTCTGTGTGCTGCTGATAAGAATGTATATTCTGATGTTGTTGGGTGGAACACTTTGTATATGTCTAGCAAGTACATTTGTTAACAAGTTTGATTACATTCTGTTATTTCTTTGCTGATTTTCTATCTACTTGATCTGTCTCGTTGTGTCAATGGTGTCCTGTTAAGATCTCCCATTATAATTTTGTTATTACTTATTTGATTTTTTATTTCTATTATTATTTGTTTTGTATAGCTGTGTGCTCCTGAATTTGGTGCATATATATTTAAGATTGTTATCTCTTCCTCTTGACATTTTCCCCTAACTAGTATGCAGTGATCTTATTTATCTAGTTGGATTATTCTTGGTTTGAAGTTCATATTGTCTGCAAACAGAATAGCTACCCTTGATTTTTTGTGGGTTCCTGTTGCATGAATTATTGTTGTCCATCCTTTGATCTTGATCCATTCTGCCAGTCTGTTTCTTTTAATTGGTGAATTGAGGCCATTTACATTAATGTTTATAACTGACATATGTTGGTTTACTTTTGACATGTCATCCTTCTGCTGTTGATTATTTAACTTTCCTCTTGGTTTGTTTGCCTTGCTTAGTGATTTTTTCCTGTATTTATCTAGAATGTCTTTCAGTATTCTTTGCAGGGTTGGTTTGATGGTCATGAAGTTCTTCAGCTGTTCTTTATCATGGCAGTATCTTATTTCTCTGTCCATTTTGAAGGACAGTTTTTCAGGGTATATCACCTCTGGATTGGAAGTCATTTTCCTATTGGCTCTGAAATACTTTACTTCATGCTCTTCTTGACTTAAAATATGGAGTGCTTCATGAATTTGTGTGTCATCCTTGCACAGAGACCATGCTAATTTTCTCTATATCGTTGCAACATTAGTATATGTACTGCCAAAGTGAGTGCTACTTTCACATTTTTAAAGGACATATGTTTTTTTTCCCCTCTGACTCTAAACTACCTATGTATTGTTGTTTTGTTGGCATAGTGCACCTAGATACTCCAACTCATTAACCTCTCATTTGCCATCAACCCATGTTATGATCATATATTTCTCATATGTGCGCTTCCTCCTAGACAATGAGGTCATTAAGAAGAGTGGTAATATCTTTTCAGTTTTGTTTTCCTAGTCCTTAACACTGTACATGATATGTAGTGAATACTTCAAAAAGAATTTTGTCAGCTTTGAGCTTGGTATATACCAGAAGGAGGGATTGTTTAGATGCTGTTCTTACCTGTGTTACCATGCTGTCTGAGATGGAATCTTTCTTTGCTAGTTAAACTAACTTGGTGTCCTTGCCTGTGAAAAATGGCAATAATGATGACGACAACATATTCATGAAATTGTATTATATGAAAGACACAATGGCTATGTGCTAAGCATTCTGTTACTGTGTATCTAAATCAGAGTAAACATTCAATAAATCTTAGTTATTAACAACCGTTTTCTCTTTATTTTAGCATTATCATTTTAAACATGTATCCTGACACTGCAGTGAATTTTGTCTTACAAATAGCTATTAATTAAAACACATGGAAGTTTTAATTTGGCAGGACCCAAGACTTAAAATTATAAGCAACTTAATTATTAGAAAGTATAATTAACAGTTCAAATTTTGAAGGCCATTAACTATGATATTTTTGTGACATGACAGAATAATTAGCTGCATAAAGCACACATGTTTATAAAAAGAAAAGTAAATGGTGATGTTTTCTAAGCTTTCTATTGTTTTCTTACAAAACTACTATTTAAATGGATGTCATCCTTGATTTTTCTCATTCTAATATATAATATCTGGGAGTTCACTATGCTTTAAAAATGATTTTCTCATTAAATATTTCTTATTGATGCTCTTATTGATGTCTTCTCTCAGACAATTTTTAAAGGTTTTTTTCATAGCTTTAAAAAACTGAAGTGATACAACTTAAGGTATGAACAAAATACTACTTATGTGGAAGATTTTTGCATTTATATTACTATACATAAAATATATTTTAGTGAAATTTTTTTGAAATAAATTCTATGTAAAAATGTCCTATTAAATTTTTATTTCTTAAAACTATATTTTATTGAGAAACAAAATTTTAATTATATTCTGAGTATAGTCCAGGAGTACTATTTTTAAAAGTATATATATGAGTATATATATCTTTAAGCTCTCATTTTTATCTTCTTGGAATTCAACACTGGGATTACTAGTTAAAGAAAGCCTAGTAGAGAATGAGAAGTCATTTGGAAGAAAACTAAGTGTCCTTGCTCACAGCCAGAACTTCCTGGCAGCTGCATCATTATGAGTGATCCCAGGAAGATCAGATCAATCTTCTAGTTACAGAACTGCTGATCCTCTTGATCTTAAGCAATAGTAACTATATTTTGTTTAAGGTTATGTTTTGGGAAAGTTTATCATAACAATGGTAGATAAATGATATACCAGGAGTGAAAGGACAGAGGTAATTTTCACTCTAAAATTCAACTCCAGTATGTGTTTTCTCTCACGTTTCACTATAATTTCCAATGATAAAACCCTGAGTCAGAACATCTCCCTTTTGTAAAAAGAAATGTTATTGCCTTAACTAGATCAGTTTGGTCTTCTAGAACAGAAAACATTAACTATGAAGATTTCCAGGATAATTTCCATTATTCATATGGCCTAGAAATGTCTGCTGGATTACCATTGCCTTTCTGGTTCTTGCATGTTTTATGCAGACTGTAATAGCATATTCAGAAATAATAAATATAATGAACTGCTACACTTCTAGATGGTTCTTGTACCATATCACTAAATGCTCTGTTACAGTGTTGATAGTACTACATGTATCTGAAAATGAGTAACTTCCAAAAAACACTAGCTAAACTAGAAACCCATTTGAAATGAGGTAGGAGAAGGTGTTGCAGGAAAGGTAAATAGGGAAAGTGGAAATGATTGTATCATAATACATCTGTGTATGGAAATGTCATGGTGAAACCTGTTAATGTGTACAATTCATGACAGTTAATTTTTATAATAAAAAGTATAGCAGGAGTTTGGAGAATTAAGAGAACTGAAGATAAGTGAAACATCCTGTAAAAGAGAAAATACAAAATTTATTATCTTTAGTTAATGTGGGAAATTAATGAAGAAGTAAATATTTGTATTTCAATCAGTCTTACTGTTTTATTAAAAGTGTTATTTACTTTTGTCTTCCACTGATTTCTTTTCAGTTGTAAGTTACCAGCAATTTTGATGCTAGTATGAAACATGGAGACATTTATGGGCTCATACAAACTTCCTTCTTTTTTCCTCCCTCACTCCCACCTTTTCCTCCCAGTTTTTCAGGATAGTCTCTGTATTCACACAAGATTCTTGATGGAACTTCCTCTCCACTTTCATCCTTAATGCTCTTCTGTTAGCACAGCAGCCATCCAAAAGGTCTACTCTATACATCCTATAATTCCAGCCTGGCCCTGCTAGGTCCTTAAGGCTAACATGTCACTTAGCTCCACTATACCCATTTCCCCACAAGAAACAATACAAAAATAAAAATTTCTATGTGAAGCATGATGATATTGATCTTTCCACAGATAACTGAGTATTCTGTTACTGTGGCCCCTCAAATGTAGAGTTCTTCTTTCCTAAGGATGAAAGTTTAAGGACGAAAGGGCTGGACAGGTGGAATAAGGATAGGGGAAAGATCTTCCCTTAGAGATTGTCTTGGTTACGTTCTCTCATTGCTGAGACAAAATATCTGGTGCCCAAAATTAGGGAAAGGAAAGGTTTATTTGACATTTTTTTGATGTTTCAATCCATACTCAGCTGGTTCCAAGGCAGAGTGTCATGACTGAGGGGCAGCTGTTCATAGAGGCTGCAAGCAACAAGAGTGAAAGCACAAAAAAGAGGGAAAAGCACGCCTCCTTGGCTCCCTTATAGTGTATATCGGCTCCCTGCCCCCCACCGGGTGGATGTAGCATGAACCAATCACAAATGCTAGACTCAGCCACTTCCAGTACTGCATGAGGTTTGGGGAGCCATCTAGGTAAAAACCATAACAGAGATTATGTTTGAGTAAAAAGGGTATAGGTATGACCAGGGCTCCTTATATCTTTCTGTACCAAAAAAATGGGCAGATTATGGGGATAAAAGTTAAATATCAGAGAATTTATGCTGTGATTATACTTGGATAAAATGAAATCAAATTGAGCTTCTTCTTCCTGAAAGTGGCCTGAGATGGCCTGTGAAAATGGTTTGATACTCTCTTGACCCAAAAATGCCCAGCTCAAATCTTCATGTTCACTTTAAGAACACCCACGACACTTCCCAACCTATCAAGGGTGTGCATATCCAAAAGGCCACCGAGAATCTGAAAGATATTACATTAAATAAACAATGTATATCATTGTAGCATTACGGTGTAGAGTGGATAGGTTTGCCCAGGCCAGACAGTGGGGCTGGCCACAGGGTCAGTGGGCCAAAAAGAATGCTGAATTTTTGCTGTACATGCTTAAAAAGGCAAAGAGTAATACTTAACTTAAGGGTGTAGATATAGCGTTTCTGGTCATTGAACATATTCAGGAGAACAAAGCATCCAATATGCGCTGCTGCACTTAGAGAGCTCAGGCCCAGATTAACCCATCCACATGGAAAGGATCCTTCCTGAAAATCAACAATTGTTCCTAAACCAGAGGAGGAAGTTGCACAGAAGAAAAAGGTATCCCAGGAAAAACTGAAGAAACAGAAACTATGGCATGGAAATAAATTAAGCATAAAATAAATGCAAATAAAAGTAATGTTGTTTGCCACTATTAGTAAAAAAATCAAATTGAATTTGAATCATGGCTTTGCCACCTTTTAGGTGGGTAAATTGGACAAATTATTGATTTGCCAAGTTTCATTCTCTTTACTATAAATGGGGATAATCCTAATATCTGGCTTATAGGATACTTTCAGGGTTGAGTCAAACAAAGCATGTTTAATAAGAATAATAATGGTAAGTGTGATTATAACACAAATCTTTTGTTCAGGTAATGAGATAGCTTAAATTTTAATGTATATTTCATTTAAAATAATTTAATGGAAGCCCACACTTACCAAATATCACTACTTTGTCTTGAGCTACAATATGCTTAATATGATTTATAGTTAGCATAGATATCATTGCTTAAAATGTGTAAAAACTGAGAAATAAGGTAATATTATTAGGGGATGTAGTAAAACATAAGCATCTAAGTGGTGTAGCCTATTATACCTCCAGAAAAGATACAGGAAAAATTCCACGTGGCAGAAGTTTTTCAGCTCCATCATACTATCTCTCTAGTGAAAATTCATTATCAACTATCACACCTCATAAATCAAGTTTAACTTGGTTCAAGCCATCATCTCTTTTTGGATATAGCCTTCTGTCTCCTTTCGAGTACTCCTGCCTCACAATAATCTGTTCTCTGCACAGCAGCCCGTGTGTTCATAATAAAATTTAAGTTTGATCATCTCTCTCTTTTTGTCTTTTTTGTTTTTATTGGTACCAGGGATCAAACTCACGACCGCACACTTGCAAGGCAAGTGCTTATGCCGCTGAGCTAAATCCCCAGCCCCTGATCATCTCTTTTATGCATCTAAAGCTCTCCCATGGCTTCCATCTCAGAGTAAAACCCCAAGTCTTTTTAGAGACCTAGATAATCTGCCACTCTGTTACCTTTCTGAGTTCATCTCTAACTGCAATATTTCTGTTTCTGCCCAGTTACACAAGTCTTCTTTCTGTCTACCAGACAATAGTGTAAAGTTCATGAGCGTAGAGATATTTGTTAAGATTTTTTTTACATAGATCTAGTGTTTAGATCAGTCTGTGGTCTGAAGTGAGAACTCATTATTTCCTTTAGGTATGTTGGATAATTTTTGAACTTACCTCTTTTATTGGCATTTTCTCTTACAAAA